AAACCAAAATAAACCCATTCCCCTTAAATTGCTTTTGTCGGAGTATTTTATCACAGCAATGGAAAAGGAACCAATATAGGTCTGCTGACCTCCATGAGAGGACCCAGAAGGATGTGAGCAGAAAGCAGGCGGCATGCCATTCAAACTATGGGTCCTTGCTCCATTGCATTAGGCTGAATGATTTCATGAGTTTAGATGTGCTGCTATCTGCCTGACTCAGTGATGTGAGCATTTTTACTTCCAGTTCTTGTTGAAAAAAACTGAAATTCTGGAAGAGAGGAACCTGCCTGAAGTCCCACAGCTTATTAGTAGAAGAACCAGAACTGGCTAGCCTGTCTGATGGGAGGCCCTAAGCCTCCTTTATCCCTTGCTTCTGGTGTCCGGTACTGACCTGTTTCAGATGAACTGGACTATCTGAGCAGGAAGTAAGAATCAGTCAGTATGATACATGGCTAACCCTCTCCCTTAGAAGCAGTGTTTGGCTCTAGTGACCTTGGGAGCACACCACATCCAGATTTAGTGGTCAGTTAATTGCAAACCCTTCCTGTTGTGGCCTTGTTCTAACCCAATGCACAGATACACAGGCAGGGGAGAATTAAGGATGGGGGATAGGGCTCAATGGTAGAGTGCTTGCCTAGTATGTGTAGTACCCTAGGTCCAATCTCCAGCCAGAGGGAAGAAAAGAAGAAGAGGGAGGGAGGGAGGGAGGGAGGGAGGGAGGGAGAGACACTCACAGAGAGGAGTATTTGAAAAGGAGGGAGAAAAAGAGGGAGGGAGGAATTAACTTTCTTAGGTTCTTTATGTTAGCAACAGTCCCTTCTCCCATTATGTTTTTTTGTTTTGAGACAGGGTCTCCCTAGTAGCCCCAGGTAGCCTGAAACTCACAGTGTAGTCTCACAAAGATCTGCCTGCTTCTGTGTCCGAGTGCTGGGATTAAAGACTTGTGCTCTCATTCCTGGCATCCTTCTCCCTTTAATGAGTGGTTGTGCACATTATCCTATTCCCTTCTTGGATAAGAGATGGAAGGTGCTCAGCAACATTAGGCACTTGGTACATATTCTACAGTGATTCCATTTGTGATGAAGATTTTTGCAATTCATAGCAAATAAGTGAGCATCAGCCCACTTGGTCCTCTGCAGACCCTCGCTGAGAAAATTTATGAATGCTGGCACATGGCATGCATGGGGCAGAGTTGGCATCTGTTTACTATAGCACAGACTTAAGGCATTGATCTTCACTAATGCACAGTTCAGTAAATTACTGTGAGCCTCTGGTGGTTCTGAGAGCCATTTGAGGCCTAGTTCCATTGAGAGTGTGTCTCCCAACCTCCTCAACCCTTTTACCGCCTCCCTCCATGATCCTCTCACTTTATTAATAAGTGTACCTGATAGTCCTCTGTGACTGCACATTCTTCTTTGAGCCAGTTTTACCCTCCTACTGATTCCCTAAATAATGAATGTCTTCAACATGCATTCACTGTGTATTTAAGAATCATCTTTTTAACTTGTTAAAATTTATACATTAAGTTATTAACACACACACACACACACACACACACACACACACACGCACGTACACACACGCACATATAACTAGCCAGAAAATAAGAGGCTCTAGACTGTTTTTTCCTGAATAGGAATCCTATATCAAACTTCTGCCTCCCAAGGCTCAGGGACCATTGTGGGAGAAGGAGCAGAAAGATTGTAAGAGCCAGGGGAGGTGGATGATCACAAGGAAACAGAATTTTTCAGACAGCTGGGCAGTTACTCATATGAACTCACAGCAATGGTGACAGCATGCACAAGTCCCACATAAGCTCAAGCCAGACAAACTCCCAGCATAGAAGCAAGTAGGAAACCCCAACCCTAGCCGAGGAATTATTGGCAAATGGTGGCTACTGGTAGGGGAGGACTCAGTCTCATTTAAGGATGAGACTCTTGATAGGTTGACCAGGCTCCAGTGCATATAGCCACACAAAAGAGCAATTGGAAAAACAGTTTTGAATATATATATTTACATATATTATGTATAATAGAGTACACAAAATTGGGTGGGTAATAGTAGGGGGTACATATACAGGAGATGATCTAAATTCAATAAAAAATACTGTATGAAATTTGCAAACATTCTATTAAAAATTTAAAACCATGGGGGAGGGTGCAGTTGGAGGAAGGATCTAAATTCAGTCAAAATATATTGTATGAAAGTTGCAAAAATTCAATTAAAATTGAATGTGTCAGAATCAAAGTTTTTTTTTAAATTATATATCAACCCATGCATGGTAGCTCATGACTGTAATCCATGTAACTCAGGAGGTTAATGGACTAAGTTTGTAGTGAGTTCAGGCTAGCCTGGGCTATAGAGTGATATTCTGCCTTTTCTCCCTATTTTTTTTTCTATTTTTAATACTCAGTGATGTTCTGCTTTGTGATTGGCCATAATTTATTTACCTATTGCCCTAGCATTAGACATTTAGGATATTTCTGATTCTCCACCAATGCACATAATTCTGCATTGATCATCTTTGAACCTTTTCTTTAAAAAATTTTTAAGTTTACATTTTTATTTATTTATTGAGCGATTGTGTGTGTGTGTGTGTGTGTGTGTGTGTGTGTGTGTGTCTGTAGGTCAGACAGCAACTTGTGGAGGTCAGTTTTCTCCTTCTACTATGTCCTACCATGTGGGTCCTGGGGACCAGTCAGGTTTAGAGTCAGGTATCTGTACCCACTGAGCCATCTTGCTGACCCAACATCTTTGGACATAAAAACTTCCCTGTACTTTGTGTTGCTTGCCTTTGATCATGCTTTCAAGTACAGAACTGACAGGTCAAATGGCATGAACATTTTTAAGACAAGCAAGAATGGAGCCTATCACATCTCCAGGATGGAAGGGCATTCCAGGTAGCAAAAACAAATAGACAGGGGACCTCAGGGGAGATGACACTAGCCAGCTGGAATGTGAATATGTGACCTGGGAGAGGCTGGAAAGGAAGGAAGGAGACCTGATTGTAAGGGCCCAGTATCCTGAATTAGATGTTCAGTGGGAAGGGAAGTTGTTGACAGAGCAAACTGACAAAAGTGATATGATGGGACTTATGTTCTCAAATGACAATCTTGACAGGAAGGTTCTCAGGCGCTCTTGACACAGTATTGGTGAAGGCTAGGCCTGAGCTAGGGCAGAGACTGGGTGTGAAACAAGAGGGAGTGGAGAGATGTTTCAACCATTACAGGGGGCTTGACTGGGGCCACCTCAGAGGCAGAGAGGAAACCTGATGGTCAGTGCATCTCCACACCACGTGGTCTGTGCTGCTTCTCCTTTGCTTTTGTTTGTTCATTTTTTTTTCATCTGTTTCTTATCTACAATATGACTTCTTAGCATGCTGCAAGATGCTCAGATCACCCACAGAAGAATTTATTGCAGTTGGGACATGAGAGACTGTGATCTGCCAAAACCCAGAGCTCATGTCCAAGGGGACCTATGACATCACCAAGAAATAAGAAACGACAAAAAGCATGCGTTCCAGGAACGTGACAGGGCATTCCTGTGGAATTTTCCAGACTAAACTGTAGTGGCTACTCTTGTCTCTGTATCCACAGAACCAGACCTCCAGCATGGCTTTTCCAGGAGGCATGGTTCGGTGTCCTGAACTCATGTGGGTGAGCACAGAAGCCAGACCTTACAGTAACCATGCACTGGGTTTACAGCCTAGCTCAGCAGGTTCCTGTCAACCAGAAGGTTTGGTGGACTTTTGCTTGAACTTCTAAAGAGGAGTTGTTGTGCTACTGGTTCACATGTGTGAAAATTGAGGCTCAGAGCAGTAAAATACCTTGCCCAAGGTCACTCAGTGACTCATCCCTATTCCCCAAAGTGCCTGATGGATTTCTAAGCAGTTTTTTCTTCCTTGTCCACACACTGGAAGGAGTGTTTCTGCTCTGCTGAATTTCTCTGAAGATGAACTGTAGGTTTAGGATCTGCATATGAATCCAAGGTGGCTGGTTTTTGTTTGTTTGTTTCCGCTCTGAGAGGGGAAACAAGGAGCTAGAGGTGGTCAAATCTGCTTTACCTTTGGCAGCAGAGAACACATGTGATGCTTTGAATTCTATAAAACTATACTTTCCCCTGACCAGTGGGGTTATAACTGAGCCAAAGTGTAGAGTCAGCATGAGCTATTGCACAGTAAACACTCTGTTCTCCTACAGGCGGATAGAGGACTCCTGGTTTGTTTACCTTTTCAGTGATGTAATTCTCCCACCATGGCCCATTTCCAACTGCTATCATAATGTTGCTCAAGTTGGGGAGAGATGTACACTTGGCTCTTGTGAGTTGACATGGGCCAGCTCCAGCACACCACTGAGTTTTCTTAGAAGCTGAGATGGATATGTTCAGGTCCCTGGAGTGATGGCTCAGTAGCTAAGAGCACTTGCTGCTCTTCCATACTGGGAGGCATACAACAGCCTGTGACTCCAACTCTGGGGAATCTGATGCCCTCTTCTGGCCTCTCAGGGCACCTACACACACATGGCTTGCACACATATAAATGCACACATAAATATAAATGAAAAAATATAAATCTGTGCCAATGAGATAAAGCCTCTGATTACCTGTGGCTCACATTAGAAATAACAGCACATCTTCTTGAGCAAGTTCCTTCAATATATTAGGCACAGCTATAAGACCCAAGACAGTGGCCTAGCCCTTGTGGAGTAACAGTCTATGGTGGAAAATGGTGATAAGCAAATAATTCCACACTAAGTGACACATTGAGCTGAACACTGGGAAAGAAGTCCTTACTGTCTGCATGAAAATAACCCATGTTCTTTGCTTCGGAACCAGAATGCAAGGTAGAATATTGTTGTCTATTCTGATTCAAGAATATAATATATCCTAAAGTTTTCACTATACTTTTGTTTACTTTGTGACATTGAAATCAGGATTGTTGTCATTATAGCCCTTCAAAACATGGACTTGGGTTTTATGGTGTTGCTTGAATTACCTTCTAGGTGGTCTTCGAGGCCTTGCACAATCTGGAACCCCGTGGCTACGTTGTGGGGTGGATCATTGCCATCAGCTTGCTGGTAGGAATCCTCATCTTTCTGCTGCTGGCTGTGTTGCTCTGGAAGGTGAGTCTGGAAATCGTGGGTGCATGTCTGGGGACGCTCCAGGACTGGAGCACCTGGGAAGAGGTTTCCCTTTACAGAATAGGTATGGAGAAGGTCAGCATCTCCTTCAGACAGAGGATGGACTCTTGTCTCCTCTTGAGGCCATTCACAACTGAGAACTTGGACTCCTTTAGAGCAAGAGTAGAAGTCTCAGTCTCCTCCTCTTATCTATTCTCAGAGGATTAAACCCACCCTGACATATGATGGTGGGACTCAAACTTCACAACAGAAGCTTGGAAAGCCAAAGCTGGGAGCAGGGTAGTCTGTCATTTGCTTGAATAAAAATTCTTTCTTCTTTTACTCTATGGAATTCAAGCATGATTTCCACCCAGAAGATGCAGAAACTGAGATGGCTACAAGCCTAGAGCTCCCCCTAGAAGACTTCTTACTAAATTCTCCCAACCACAAGGTGGTTCCTTTGGAGCTCAGTCAGAGTGAGGGATTGTTCACACCTCTTCTTGGGGCATATCTTACCTTTAGCATCTCTCTCCTAAGAAGAAGGAGATACCCTTATCCCAAACTGAGGGTGATTACTTTGTCTGACACTTGTCTCTCTAAGATCTGGAGGCCTTAGACTTCAGAGCTTTGATATCCATCAACATTGTTATCCACATCATTATCGGAAGATCTGTCTCTTCTGCTAGGCAGTAGTGGTCCAGGTGAGGAGGACCATGTTTATCCTCATTGACACTCTGTCTCCATCACAAAAGAACATGAGGGTCATTACTGGAATTTCCTGATCCAAACACTTGTGATTCCAGGTCTCAGATGTCAGTGGAAATGTTGCTAGAGTTTTAGGGTAAAAGCTCAAACTCAGGTAGTTCCAACAGGATTGTCTCACCCACCTGTGCAAATAATAGTGAAAAGCATAACAAGATTTAATCAATTGAGGAGAGGAGCAGAACCAAGTGCCACCCCCCCATCTTCAGATACTGACCTGAGCTTTAGGTTTAAATAGAGGAAGGGTTGGAGGGGAACAAGAGACCTGCATCCACAGCTGTGTTCAACGTGTGTTCTAGTGGATCGTGATCTCAGTTCTGGTTCTTCAGAGTGGTCCAAAGAAATTGTGACTGCTGTCATTGCTTAAGGAGAATAATCTGGTTCCCATAGGATGATTGCCCCTGCATAGGGAGCAATCTCAGGATGGGACAAATGTCTCTGAGGTCCTGCTGTTCCTAGAGTCTGAGGTGACTGAGGGTTTAAGACAGTGTTATCTCTGCGAGTTTTGGTCTTAACAGGGAATGAGATAGGCAAGATATCATGTATCATGGGTTTTTAGATGGACACTCACTGAGAGATTAACATGCATGTGTAGAGTCAGGCAGAGTCTGACCTAAAGGAAAGGAGACCAATACAAAATGAAGGGAGAGGTGCCAGGCTTTCCGTCTGCTTTGACTTCCCTTGTGGGCACAAATCTGCCTCATTAGGCAAAAGGAGTCTCTAAACTCTTGCATAGAAACAACACCTGAGATTGTTATGGACCAATGTTTTAAATCCAAATACTTAGTTTCTTTGGGATTATAAAATAATATATCAAACATGATAACATATTAATAAGAAAATGTGAAACATCTAGGAAATATGTCTCAGAAATAATTGTGATGAGTGTAGTGTTTTCTCTTTCTTACTTTCTTTTTCTCTATGTATATAGACATAAGCCAGACTTTCTCATAGGCCCAATTTATTCATGGACAGTTTGTTGGTTAAATTGTCCAGAAATATACTCAATGTATTTTCAGGTAAGGTATTTCCTAAATTTAAAACCGTGGGTTTAAAACCATTTAAACTTTGCTTTGATTGTGTTGCTTAAAAAGTGTAGTTATAGAAGGAGACTGTCATGGGGTGGCCAGAGCCCTGAGGTCTCTAGCTGAATGGCACCTAAGAAGATATCATACACTGCCATGGACTTAGAAAAGGGTCACCAGTTCGTGTGTGTGCATGGGAACATATGTGTGCCATGGCACACATATGGAGGTCAGAAGACAACTTGCAGAAGTCAGTTTTTTCCTTCCACCATGTGTGTTCTGGAGATCGAGCTTGGGTTGTCAGGTTCAGTGGCAAGCACCTTACCCACTGAGCTATTTTATTGGTCCCCTACCTTGTGTTTTGAGACACAGTCTCACATTGGCCCGAAGCACACAGATTAGGTTAGCCTAGCTGATCAGTGAACCCCAGAAATCTACCTGTCTCTTCCTCCCCAGCAGTAGGATTACAAGCCAGAGCTGGTTTCATTGCACAGGTTCTGGGGGGTCAAACTCAAGTTCCCATGCTTATTGCACAAGCACTTTACCAACTGAGCCATTTTCCTAATCCCTGTGGGTTCAGTTCTCAAATCTGAAAAATATATATAATCAACACAATTGAGGCGATGTAAAAAGTCTAGAAATACAGGGAAAACTGGTGTTTAGTGTACTTTTCTCAGATTAATGATTAACTCTATTGCTTTCAACTTAGAGGTATCAGAACCAGAGAGATGGCTCAGTGGTTAAGAACACTGGCTGTTCTTGCAGAGGACCTGGGTTTCATCCAGGCACCCACATGGCAGCCAACAACTGTCCGTAACTCCAGTTCTAGGGGATCTGACACCCTCTTCTGACCTCCATGGGCATTGCATGACACAGGTACACGTACGTACATGCAGACAATACACTCATACACATAAGATTAAAAAAATTAAGTATTTAAACTTAGAGATGTTTCACTTGAAAAAGTACCTGGAGGTTGAAGAAAACATACAGAGCTTATTACCTGCCAGTGAGTTCACCTTATATTCCCAATACATTGCTGACTTTTGTGTACTATCTTGTTTTAAAATATTTTTGTTAATTCTTTGGAAACTTCATACAATATATTTTGATCATATTTCCCCCTTCCCCCAACTCCTCCTAGACCCTCCCCTACCTTCCTATCTACCCAACCTCATAGTCTTTCTTCTTCCCTATTAAGTCCAATATGCCATGCCCAAATATTCTTGGGTGTGGAATCTGCTCTGGATTATTGTAAATCTACCAAGGCCCATACCCTTAAAGAAAACTGACTCTTGCTGTCCCAGCAGCTACCAAATGCCAATAGCTCCTTAGCTAGGGGTAGGACCTTATGTCTACCTCCCCACTCCATGTTGGGATCTTGTCTGACTTGATCCCGGGTCTAGCAAGTCTAGTGCCTGCTGTCACCGTTGCTGTGAGTTCCTGTGTGCAACTTCCCTACTGTCTAGAAAACATTGCTTCCTTGTAATCACACATCACCTCTGGCTCTTACAATTTTTCTGTCTCCTCTTCCCCAAAAGGTCCCTGAGCCTTGGCGAGAAGGGTGTGACATGGATGTCCCATTTGCAGCTGAGTACACCACAGTCTCTTATTCCCTGCATGATGACCAGTTGTGGGTCTCTGTGTTAATTGCTTCCTATTACAAGAAGCTTCTCTAATGAGGGTTGAGAGATGCACAAATCTATAGATAGCAGTAAGTCATTAGAAATCATTGTAAGACAGTGTCAATTCAGTTGGATATTAATGATAGGTTCTCTCCTAGGGCCTATGACCTATCTAGCCCTAGTTCTTGGCCCTGATAGTGGTGTCAGGTATGAGTTTCATCTTGTGGAGTGGGCCTTATCTTTGAGCTGTTGTTCCCTGGTGACAATACTGTGAGCATCTCTGGACTGTTAAGGAGCCCATTTCTAGCCACACATAAAGCCCCTGCCAACTGTATGTTCTACAGTCCCTTGCTCTAGAATTTAGGCTGTTCCTGGTTATGTTCATCTTATAACAATGCCACAGTGAATCACCTCAGAGCCAAATAGTTGCACAAACTTCATTTTATCCCTAGAATGAAACCCTAGAAGTGGAATTATGAGGGATGTGTTTCATGTAGTAAGCTGCACTCCTGAAAGGCTATACTGATTCACCCTTCCACGGCCAGCGTAGCAAAAGTGTCCATTTTCCTGTGTGTTTGCCAACAGCGGATATTACCCCCTTTATTTTAATCTGCCAATTTGTTGTTTATTTACTCTGTATTGCCAGAGAGATCCTTAATTCTCCCTTGTCGCCAACTCCAGTGCCTTCCTGCTGAGAGGGCTTCTGGCCTGTGGGTGGAGAACAAGGCCTGCTCAGTGTTGGGAATCTGAAAAGATAAGCTTCTTGCTGAGGCTCTGGGAGGTGAGGGCTGGGGAGAAAGCAGGAGATTTCTGCCTTCATACGGGCTTTTGAAATAAGAAGAAATGCTTTCCTGCTCCCTGGCTAGGTGGACTCTGTCCTAGTTTGTTTCTCAATTGCTGCGATGAAACACTCACCAAAACCAGCTTAGGGAGGAAAGGGTTTGTTTCTCTTACAGCTCACAATCCATCATGGAGGGAGGCCAGAGCAGGAACTTCAGACAGGAACCTGGAGGCAGGAGCTGCAGAAACCATGGAGGAATGCTGCTAACTGGCTTAGCCCCTGGCTGCTCAGCTACCTTTCTTATAGACCCCAGGCCCATCTGCCCAAGAGTGGTACCATGCACAGTGGGTTGGGCCTTCCCACATCCACTAGCAATTAAGAAAATGCCCCAGGGACAGGCCCAGAGGCCAATCTGATGGAAGCCATTCCTTAATTGAGGTTCCCTCTTCCCAGGTATATCAAATTGACAACTGAAGCTAAAAGCCAGGGCAGCCAGACAGGAACACAGAACAGGTGGTGTTCATGGCCACACCCTATTCCCCTTTGCAGCCTGCATGCCCTGCTTGTAACTGACCCACTGAGCTCCACCATTGAGGACAGGGTGGGTTTGCTGTGCTCCATCACCTGTGCACATTCCCTGCCTCTTCCCGCCTGTCACCACTGGCACGACTTTGCTTTGATTGTGTTGCTTAGAGAATGTGGTTATGGACGGTCACTGACTGTCATGGGGCGGCCAGAGCCCTGAGGCCTCTAGCTGAACGGCACCTAAGAAGATGTCACACGCTGCCATGGACTTAGAAAAGGTTAACC